GGACACTTTCAAAGGCCCTGTTCCACGACTGACAGTATTCTGTGTTCAAATCTGTCCACCAGCCTCACACCTACAGCAGTGATGAACAAACACGACTTACGTTGCCGTCGTCTCCGCAGACCTTTTGGTTCAAGTCACAACAAGAAGAAAATAATCAGTTGCTGACGTTTATTAAAAAGTCTGAAGAAGTTTATTTTCTCAGCACCAGATGAAACCAAATGACGCGACAGCAGTCGGACACGTACATCTCATTCTTTAATAACTTGAACGCGTGTGTGTGTGTGTGTGTGTGTGTGTGTGAAGCAGTGGCTCCAGAAATGCACTTTGTTTTTTACATTTTAGTTTTTTCCAAGCAGTTGCTGTAATAAAAAACACATGCTGCCATTTGTAAAAAAACAAACAAACAAAACAACAAAAAAAAACAACTGCCATGGTGACGCGGTGAAGCCGTCAATCAAATAGAATCAAAAGTGTGTGAGAAAAGCAAAAACCCGTCAGAGTGTGTGTTTTATAAAGAATGTGGAACGTGTAAAAAAAAAAAACACAAACAAAATTAAAAAAAATCATCTGTTGATTTATCGCTAATCTTCATTTTTACATTTAAAGAAATTTAACTCAATATGGCGTTCCAGAAAATGGACCTTTTCAAAATGAATGCCTTTAACATCTGTAAAAAACTATGTTTACTATGTAGCACCAACAGACAACAAGGGCAGCCAATCACGTGCCTCCGTTCTCTTAGTGAAGAAATGACTACTTCAAGAATCGCGGGTATAAAGTCCGTTTGTGTGGTTCCAGTGCAGCCACCATTGGTTTGGTATTACATCCTTACAGTACGGCCGTGATGGAAGGTTCTCCTAACTCTCCTGTAAGAGTTCTTCTCTTTGGTTCCACCTTTAGATCGCAGCGATGACTCCTCGTTGGACGGGTGCTGAGGACAGATGGAGAAATAACAGACGGTTCAGACGGTGTCTCTTTGGGCTGTGGTTAGGGATTTCCGATAATATTGGCCTCGCCAAATTATGTGTCCCCTAAAAATAGCTTTGGGGAAAAACAGCTGTATATGAAAGGGAAAGTCACTAGATGGCAGCATTGCAGCTCATTTTATTAATCTATTTTAATAATCAGGGGATTGTGTGCACAATGCTGGTGCCAGCAACTCCTACAGTGGTTTGTACTGATAAATAAATAATTATTACCAGACCCTTAGTAGTATTTCAATATGGGGGGCTAAAAAAACATGGCAGGAAATAATTGACCCATCACCTTAGTGAGCAGGTGACACTTCACTTCCTTAACCACCAGGGCACCACTGCCCCACTGTATCGGTATGGTTGATATTGGAATCAGAAATTGAGTGTTTGAACAATATCAGCATATCTGACATCGCTAGCTGTGGTTCATACCTGCTTCTCCACAGGCCTTCACGCACTGCTCGTATGTATCGAAGCGGTTCTGGTTCCCCCCGCATCCTCCGTACCAGAAGCGCGTGCAGCTCTTGCTGGGGGCGTCGTAGTGCCACTTCAGGACAAACTTGGCACATGCGCCTTCTTCTTTGGAAAGCTGGCAGATGTCTACAGCTTTGAGGGCTGCTGTGGAAAAAGGTGAGAGAGTGAGTTCACGTCATTATGAAGATGTACTACTACAGTTCTGAGTAGTTGAATCCAGGACGGGATTTTAGCAGGAAGTCCTTTCTTCTTTTACGTCACTTTGACTTTTCATAAAAACAGAGTTGGACTAAAATAAAAACCATCAGTGCGATGTAAATCTCACCAGGAGCTTGGAGGATCTCCACCTGTTCACTCTGCTCCACCTTTGCTGGAGGCTCAGGTACTGTTGGAAAAGTGGATTCACATGAGAAAATAGATTTTTCATCTGCCAATAATCGGCTTAATCTGTTTTATCTGAGGTGCTCAGTGTCGCCTCATGCAGGTCAGTGTCTGATTTGATTTGTCTGAATTTACTGACATGCAGCTTTAATCGGTTCCTATCAACATGAAAAAACAGCCAATACATTTTAAAATATACTACATAAATGTACTTTTAACACTGCAGTACATCTGTGAAATATTTGCATTACATATACTGTATCTGTGTTTACCCACTAGTGCCCCCCATGGGTGTGGCCAGGGAAATTGCTCCCAATTTTGTAGTGCAGTACTGTGTCTTTTAAGACACTTTAGTGACTGGGCGCCACTGCACTCCACTCTCACCTGAAGTACCAATGTTTGTAAGGGGGACAACTATCCAATCTGGCAACCCAACGACTTTACCGCACTGTTTACAATAGCGGCACACTTGACCGCAAGATACGGTGACGAAAGGTCCGGCTGCTAGCATCACATCTATACGGGGTGGTCGACATCTTTAATTGACCAGTTGGAAAAGTCCCCTGAACCGAAAAAACTAAAAACTGAAAACACTGAAAACCAGAAAGACGTTTATTACCTGTGAGGGCGCGAAGTCGGAACAGTAGACGGAAGTAGTTCAGTGATTAACGACTTCTCGTTAATCACTGAACTACTTCCGTCTGTACGAAGACGTCACGGACACGTATGAGGCACAACTCGTTCGAGTTCTGAGGTAAATGTTTTCTGAGTTAGTGTCGTATTGGCTGTATTTTCATTTCGAGTGAGTTGATCAGTTAACACGGTTAAACCCTTGGTACTTTTTGGGTTTAAGTGGTTAGACCGGTAACTGCGGTCGACGGTTAGCCTAGCATGCTAAAGTTAGGCTACCACATCCCAGGGTGAGTCAGAAAGTCCACAGACAAATGTTTACTATTCCCGCAGGTGTTTGGTGTTAGTGACTAAAACCGGTGTCTCCGGGAGCTTTGCCCAGTTTTGTTTGTTTGGCTTTTTATTAAACCCTCAAAAAACTAAGCATTTTAAAATCAGAACAAACATCATGTTTAACCCGTATTTATTTATAGATCTATCTGATATTAAAAAGGGAGACATGGGGGATAATCATATGGTCATTAATAACATTAATACAGTTTTCACATTTGTCTACTTTGTGACTTCCCCTGGTTCTTCATTTTTTCATTGCAGTGATGATCAATACGTATGTATGTGGATGTACTTAAGCCTGTGATCATGGCATGACTACAAACCTTATCAAAGATTAAGACAGTAGGCAGTGACACGTTAGCTCCAGGACCACGGCAGCACCAAACCCCTTACCTGACCTCTTGCAGTTTTTCAAGCAGACAGTCTCAGTGTCGAACCTATTCTCATTGCCGCCACAACCTCCATACCAGAACTGTGTACAGATCCCGTTCTTTCTGTCAAAGAACCACTTAGCCTGATACTCTTTGCATGGCATTCCAGCATCATAGTCAAGTGAGCATGGGTCAACATGCTCATTAACTACAACATGCAAAAAATCAACAGCAGTGATGAGGGGACAGACAGAGAGAAAGACAGGATGACATTGGATGAATTATAGGATTCAACCTAAAACTTCTTGAGGCGTACAGAAGTCATATAGTGGTGTTAAAAATGGGAGTTACAAAACCAGGAGACCTAAGTGGGTCAAACAAGTGTCAGTGAAGACTTTGTTCATTCTCCCAGAGGAAAGGAAATTGCATTCAACATGGCATTCTTCAGAAGGTAATTATTATATTAGCACTTCTAACATAAGGAAATTAAAAAGTTGTCAAGAGGATGAAGGATGGTGAGGCTCTGCCAGGTGAAGTTAGTGTTCTGTACATGTTAGTTATTTTTAGTCATCTGTACTGTTATATGCTGATGATACAATTAGTGATGCCCAATATTAACTTTTTGCCCATATCCGATATGCAGATATTGTCTAAATTCTTAATTTCTAATTCCGATATCAACCGGGGCAGTAGTGGCCTGGTGGTTAAGGAAGTTAAGTGCCGCCTGCTCACTAAGTTCATGAGTAAATGCAGTGTTTCTCATTTATTTTCTGCCATGCCTGCCCTAGGAGCCAAAAGTTTTTTTTTATCCCCATAAATTGAAAAACTAATCAGCGCCTGCTAATATCTGACATCCCTAGATACAAACCTGCTATTAAGGCCTTTGAGAATTTTCACTCACCTCCATTGTATTGTTGCCCACACAAGGGTGTCAGCTGCCCCTACATCCACTTCTACAATTACCATTGGTGAAGAGGTTTTCATGACTTAGTTCTGACAAAGTTTTCTATTACACTGTTACTAACTGACCAAGGTAAGGTGTTTGGTTTGTCAAAGATGTTGTTCTGGTCCGACCTAACACGTGTTTTGAGTTTGACCTTGGTGACCTTAAGATTTGTTTTAAGCTTTAATCTCGGCCACACATGCTGACTGGTCGGTGGGAATGTTGTCCAAAATCAAACCAGTCCATGGCACGAAAATGGTTGGGGACCTCTGATCTACGGCACCTTGGGTCATACATGAGTTGATTGATACCAAACGATTAAAGTAGTTGTGCTAAATTGTACCATGATAGGAAAACGGTACTACATACTTATCATACGTATCATAAATATTCTTCTATTGGAAGTATGCAAAATAACTCACCACTTGTTGATGTAGGTCTTACAGTCTTGACTGGCTTATGGTCTGCTGTTTCTGTCAAAGTAAAACAAAGAATAATAATGCAGAGGTGATCATATCATGTTTTTCTTTCAACTAAAAGAAAATATGATTTTATATTTAAGTAAAAAATTGTTACCTACTGAATGATGTGTAAATAGTCACTAGTGTTAACTTAGGTTTGAGTTGGTTTAATTGAAACAGTAAAAACTAATAGCAGTAAAAACACAACAAAGACAGTCTCTCACACCCAGTATTTTATAAGACGTGTCTTAACTGTAAACTTCAGCCATTCCATTTTCAACACAACACATTTCATCTGACCCAGCGCCCTGGTTCTGGACTTACTGGTAGTGACGATTCCTTTGCGGGTGGAGACAATTTGACCGTGTGCGGTGTAGGCAGTGACCACTGTGTGGTAAGTCTGGGCACTTTGTAAGTTGTCCACAGAAAGTTCGGTGCCAGAGACGTTGGTCTTTAATACCAGTCCATGGTCGGACAACCTTGTCACCAATACCTCAAAATAAACAAAGAGCACGGGGTCTGGGCTGCTCCAGCGTAATTTAAAACTGCTGGAGGTGACGTTGGAGACGTGGAGCTCGTCCCCATCTTCAGGGCAATAAAGCAGAGAAAAGAGAGCAGTGAGGGAGAGAATAGATAAGCAGTGTGAATCTAGTGTGAACCATGGGAAGATCCCACATATGACTAGAATACACCGTAGTGTCGGGCTGTGAATTGGCAGGAATCTATATTTTGCAATATACTCTGATACTATAAGCCAGGAGTGGCCAACCACCATCAAGAAGAGGCTTTTTTGATTTCCGTTCACAAGCACAATGATATATTGTGTGAAAGACTAGTTATAAGACTGCAAGTCCTGGGAAACAGTTGTGTCTGGGACCTGGTTTACTTTGGGCCATGCACCATCTTACCTTTGTGTTTTTTTGGTTGCACTGGTTGGTGAATCTCATGTGATTTCTGATGTTTACTGGAAAAGAACAAATAAAAGAAAATGTATGAATAAATGAATGAATGTAATCTTTAAAATATATGGGTAAATCTTCATTTTATGTGGTGTGGGATGTTCTGATTTATGTAGTGGAAACCTCAAACCAACCTATTTTCATGCTGGTTTGTGGTATACTTGTGATGATGGATCAGAGTAGTGTAAAAAATAGGGAGGGAATCATGAGCTGAGAAATGAGTCTTACTTCTGCTGTGAAGAGGTTCCTGTGAACGGGTTTTTCATAGGCTGGTCACTCTGAAACCATTTGCAGTTTTTGGAAACTTCTGGCGACATGTAGAAAGCATTTTCAACTAGAAAGAGAAGTAATAGTTTCAGTTTCAGCAGTACATAAAGTAAAGTAATATCTGTCTTGTACTCACTGGCTATATATTTGGGCATCAGTTGGCTGAAGGTCTGGAGGTATTTGTCGTAGAACTGAGAGATGCTGTCCAGTCGTTTAAAGAAAACATCTGATGGCTCACTAGCCATACGTGATAAAACCCGAGAATCACTGGCAGTCAGCTTCTCGCCGACACCCAGTATGACGACGAAAAAGCCTCTACATTTAACCTCAGTGGCGATACGCACCAACTGCTCTTCATCTTCTTCCACATTTCCTGTCACGAAGAGCACAAGCACTTTCCTGTCACGTTGAAGAGGCGCCTTATCAAACACTTGCTCTACGGTAGATTCAATGGCTGCTGCTAGTGCCCGCCCGCCCTCTAACTGCGGGGTCTTCTCCACCAGGAATCTGATGAGCTGATCTGTGCTCAGTCAGGCCTATGTCTACAAGAATAGGAGAGCCAGTTTTGTTGTGGATGAACTCATAGGTTGCCTGTTGGATCACAGACACTCTGGCCTGATGAACGGATGTTGTTGGATCTGAAGACACCTCTAGCTGATCTACTATTTGTGCTATATAGCGTTTGATCTCAGTAAAGGCGGTTGGGGAAGTGGATTCTGAGCTGTCCATGACAAAAGCCATGTCAATATCAATGTCTGTGGCCGAGGATCGCCGGTCTCGACTGGTTAGTGGAGGCGCATAGTCGCAGATTTGGTCAGGAGAGCAGAGATCTTAAAAAGAAGAAAGATAATTCATCAAATGTAGTGATTTGTTTTTCTAAAGCTCTGCCACAAAACAACTCATGATGAGTACTCTCTTTTTAAATCATGAAAACACTCTGATATTGGAAACACTTGGATGCTGCAACCATAATTTAATAATGTTTTTAGTTGTTAACACAGCTAGAACTCTTACCAAAGCAGACATGGCAGTTCAAAATCTTCTGGATCACTGAGTTGTACTGAGCACTTCCTGGACTGGGAAGGACAATCACCTGGGCAAGAGCTGTGTTGTTGACCTAATCAACAAACAAAAGCAAAAAAAGAGGCTAATGAATTCCTTTTTGGAATGAAGATCGTTCGACAAAGTTAGCCAGTTCTGTGTTACAGCTGGCTTAACAAACCCTAAAGTTGGAATCAAAGAACAAGACCACACCAGCTGACATTGTAGCTATCAAAAGGGGCAGAAATAACTGTCACACTTAAAGAAGTGACCCTAATGTCTGTGGTTATTTGCCATACCCTGTTCCAAACAACTATGTCAGGAGGTAGTTCTTTAGCTGATCAAACTGGAACTCACCACATAACCCTTGGCTTATTGGAGCTTACTAAGTCCCAGTTTCATCTTTGTACCATAACCCAGTACTGTTTGTTTTGTTTACCTGCAGTGCTCTGCCAAGTCCTCTTTCCTCACGATTGACCAAGAAGAGGGTAGCAATTCCGGCATCATGCAAGCGCATGGCTGCGTTGGTGATTCCTTGTACCTGACCGAGTGACCCGCCTACGAAGAAGATGGCCACCTTTCTCATTAGAAAACCGCTGCGCACTCTCTTGAAGGTGTTCTGGGCCACAAAGCTCATTGCTGTAGGTAGGCTACGCTCTTTGCTCGTCTGTAGGGTTTGCAGTCCTTCAACACGCTGCAGCAGAGCACGCTTTTTCATTGCATCAGCGAAGCGAACCTCAGTTGTGACCTCACTGTTGTAGAGAGTCAAGGCAACACGGGCGCCTCTTGGGCAGTTACTCTCTGAGATGGTAATGTTTCTGAGCAGACGCAGCACAGTGTCACGCATGTTGTTGAAAATTCGACGGTCAACATTCTGAGAAGCGTCAAGGGCAAAGGCTAACTCAGTAGGGTAGAGTGGGCATTCCTTCTGACCTGAGGTGACAGGGTAGTAGGGCAGAAATAATTATTTGTTTTTATAAAGAAGAGAATGATTGTATAGAAGTAAAATCTATATTGTGCTTACCATAACAGCATGCTGTTAAAAAAAGGAAAGCAAATTGTAGTAAAACAGATGACTTTTGACAAATGACAACCAATTGGAAATTGTAAATCATTAATAACACTCACGACAGTTGTCCCTTATCTTCTTGACTAGTTCACATTGCTGAAGAAATGACAGTCAACAAGAGAAACGAATGTTAACAGATATTGGTAATAAAATGTTTAATTAAGAATGGAATCAAGTGTTCCACAAATAAATGGGGTACTGACCACAACACCTGGTCCTTTTGGTCCTTTCTGGCCCTGTTTGAAAAAAAAAATTGTTGTTAAAAATGCTTATATCTAGACACACACTGAACTAAACTATAACTTTAGAAAAATACCGCTATAGAGGAATATTGCAGATATATCCATCTATCTATCCCTCCCTCCATCTATGTAAAGCCTGTTGTACTTTTGATCAAGAAATGTATGAAATTAAGAATTCTGAACAGAAACGACAAAAACTGATGTTACTTACATATGGTCCAGGATATCCAACCTCTCCTTTCTGTCCGGGTGTACCAATGTTTCCAGAGACACCCTGGAGACACAGTCAAAGAGCACAATTCACTCTCAAGGATGATCATCAATTCTTTCTTTAAACCCTGTACAGTACCAGCTAGTCATGTCCACCTAGCCCATCTATAATTAGACGCTTACTCTCTGTCCACGGTTTCCTCTAGGTCCAGGTCCACCTTTGCTGCCAGGGTCACCAGCTGCGCCCTGTAACGAAATACAGCAAATGATCAACAGCATTCAGCAGGTAGGACCATTATCCAGTTTATCTCTCTGTCCCAAGTATTAAACATAAAATCAATCAATGTGTCTCTGTTACCTTTTCTCCTGGGCGTCCTGGAAAGCCTGGGTCACCCTGTGAGGAAAAAAACAATGTTAACACTCAGCTATGGTAACTGGTATGGTTACCAGACAAAAGACCTGAGATTTGTAGTTCTCACATCCCTGCTTCACAAACGTATAATCCTTTCACCACATTACTAGGATTGAAAACAACTTACCTTTCTTCCCTTGGGCCCTGGAGACCCAAATCCATCCCTACCATCTTCACCCTTTGAACAATTTACATAAAAAAAGTGTTTCTGTCAGATCGTTGACACAGATTCTTGATCAAAGAGCCTATTGTTCTAGTTTGTTCTAATATTCAATAACTCCAATATTAGTTAGTATTTCTAAAATAATCAGTAGCACTAACATAACTTCTCATACCATTTTGACCTCATCTATAAAGATATGCAACATGTCAAGATTTTTTTTCTTTTTTTTCAAAAAGCTTTTTTCAAAGTTTTTCAAAATATCTGACTCCCTGCACTTGAAAATGTATATTTTGTGTTTGTGTTTAGTTATCCTCTGTTGTATTTTACTTAATTAATATCCACTACTTCTTAAGTGTTTTTTTCAAAGTTTTTCAAAATATCTGACTCCCTGCACTTGAAAATGTATATTTTGTGTTTGTGTGTAGTTATCCTCTGTTGTATTTTAAAGTTCTGGGATGTTCGTTGTGTCGCCATCTCTGTGTTCTGTTGATGAATGTCTATCAAAATCCTGTCTGGAATCTTTGTCCTGTTCCTCGCGGTGACCCTGTAATAATGCCAGTATGTGTCTCATCAGATTTATTTTGTACTGCAGTACGTTTGTTTACAATCAGCTACTGTGAGTTGCCATCTCGAATCTCACGAGCTTCTTGCTATAATGACGTTGTTTGCTGAAACTTGAACGTTGTGTTGTTGTCACTTTTAGCACTTTTGTTGCTCTTTTTGATTGGATGTTTTGTAGTTTTTTGCTAAAGTGGAGTTACTATGGGGAAGTCATTAGAACCTCCAATTAAAAAGAACATTCTCTGTGATTTGTTGTCCAAAAAGGAGCTAGATGGCAGCGTTACAATAATTAGAGCTAAATGGAAGTGCTCGTCGTTTTGGTCCTCTCTCTGTGCACTCAGAAATAACTGCCCGATCGTCATCCATTTGTTTATCATTTGCATGAATGAAGTATTGCTACTGAAACGATCATATGTTGTTGCCTGTTACATTAGAGTTTATACAAAAACCAGGGTACTTACAGGCTCTCCATGGGGGCCAAGTGGTCCAACAGCACCCTGTGGGCCTGGATCTCCTGGCTCTCCCTACAAAGACCAGGTAAAAACATCAAGGGAGAAATACTCCAAGGAGTCAAGGAGAAGGACAAATATTTCTTTAAGCATTTGAGTCTGCCTTAATTAACACCATAGGTTCTGGTTTCAGCTGCAGCCCGGATACTTTCAGTTCTTTTGCTTCTTTTATACTGTGAAGTGTTTGTGCAGTAAAGTAGAGAGTGTTTGATTGCAGGCAGTGTATTCCTAAATTAGTATGACTTTAAGTACTTTATAACGGTACCTTACGACCAGGCGCTCCTCTTCGGCCCTTTTCTCCAGCAGTACCAGGCTTCCCTCCAAGTCCCTTGAAATAAATTGCAGACATTAGAGGAAGTTTTGATGGGATTGCAGGTATCACTGAAGTATAACAGGTGAATATATTTCAGGTGTTTTATGTACCCTAGGTCCAGGGTTTCCATCTTCTCCTCTCGGCCCAGGGGCACCATTTGGTCCACTTGGACCCTTTAAGGAGGAGAAAACAGATTGAAATGGTTCTAATGAATCTGCTCTTTGCTTGCACAAGAAGTACATATACTACAGTATTTCTGTGAGATTGAATACTCTTGCAGTAGGGATAATCATGTGAAAGCTTACTCTGGGACCTCCTATACCAGGTTCTCCCTGTACACCATCGGTTCCAGGCTTCCCAGGTCCTCCCTAATGGCAAACATGCGAAGAATATATTAAGTACTGACAAAACAAGAGTTATTGCAGTCGACACTAAGCAATAAAAGTGTCCTCAAAGAGCTTACACGTGGTCCCGGTGCTCCTCTTCTGCCGTCAGGTCCCTAAAGAAACATAAGTGTAAATTAGACTTTTTACATTAAGAAAAGTATGTGGAAGATAATGGCATCAGGAAATGCTTTACTCTTCTTCCTGCTTCTCCAGGGCCTCCCGCCTTTCCGTTGCCACCTTGGTCTCCCTATAATAGGATATAATATAATAGGAAATAAATTGAACATGAAAAGTGGCAGAAAGTGTAATACAAAAAATGTATTCACAAAATTAACTTGGAAATCTGAAAATGTTATTACCGCTGGTCCAGCATCACCAGCATCTCCTTTAGGTCCACGTTGATTGTTGTCTTTCCCACTTGTCCCCTGTTACACATTAATCACATTTCAATTATAAGAAAAAATTTAAATAATGGTTGGAAAGCGTAATGCTAGGCAGTTGTGTATCTGGATTTTAACCACAATCTTACTCTTTCTTTAATCTCTCTTTTCTCTCTCTAGATACCACATACAGGTTTGACTATACTCACAGGGTCTCCTCTGATTCCAGGTTCCCCTGTGTCTCCTGCCAGTCCTTTGGCACCTTTGGGGCCCTAAAGGCACAGCATTGATCAGTGATTAGCACAAACTAAGCTAGATGTCTGTAAAGCAATAACTTTTATTTTCTTACCCTTCTGCCAGGGTTTCCTCTTTCTCCTGGGGGTCCAGCAACTCCACTTTTACCCTGACCACAGTTAGCAGTAGATTCCAGTCAGACCAGTATACACAAAACATATTGTAATCTGTGATGTGTTTAGACTAGGATGATATTAACTTTATACCGATATGTGATATGCCTATATTGTCCAAAGACTGAATTTCCGATTCCGATATATTCTGATACCGATATAGGGCTGGTAATATTTATTTGTTTATCTATACAAACCACTGTATGAGTTACTGGCACCAGAATTCTGCATACAATATTATTAAAATAGATTAATAAAATGAGCTGCAATGCTGCCATCTAGTGGTTTTCACCTTCATATACAGCCGTTTTTTATGAATTTCCCCCCAAAACTATTTATAGGTCACACTTCATTTGGCAAAACCAAGGCATTGCATTATATGGGGTTTGATTATCAAAGGAAAAGCCGATAATGATTCTTACAGTTATTACATAATTATGCTAATTAAAATTAGGACGTTCCTAATTTAGGCAGTAAGCAATTCAGCCACATAGCTAATGTGAAGTGCATAGAGCAGAATATAATATTTGACCAAACAAGTTTTACCTCTTCTCCGTTGATACCATCAAGTCCAAGTTCTCCAAATTCACCCTGTGAACGACAGTAGTTACCGTAAATTGCATCACTAAGCTGTATCTGGACACCTTATCTTGTAGCAAGGATTAATGGAAATATATTCACCTTTTCTCCAGAGTATCCTCGAGAACCCTAAAGAAAAGAGAGAGAGAAACAGTTGCTTGTAGTGAAAACTGTACTCTACTGTCCTAAAAATTACAAAAATGTGAAGGTTTAAGTTGATGTAAAAGCTTTTACCTTGACACCTCTTTGTCCTGGGCAACCCTTGTAACCCTGTGTTCCATTGATACCAGGAGGACCTCTCTCTCCCTGTCATTGCCAGAAAATAGTTAAGACAACATAACGAAATATTGACAGGAAACTTTGTAGCTGAATTAATGAAAATATTTTTAAGGTGGTGGCGCTTTGGCCCAGAGGCAATATCTCTGTCATTGGTGTGGAACCCCACGGTTCACCTCCTGTGCAAGATCGAATCCCGGTTAGGGAGGTTGGTACCTTCCAGTGGACTCACCACCCACAGGAAGGTTGGTACGGTGCAGTGTGATTTGGGTCGCGGTCATAGAGACTGCTGCCCCTGCGACCCGGTAACGATAGAGTGGATGAAAATGGATGGATGGATGGATTTTAAGGTGCAAAACATGGAATTCTAGACATTCTAGACAAATCCAGTTTTTGGAACTTACAGGTCCACCCTCATCTCCTGGATGTCCTTGGCTTCCTGGAGATCCTGGGCTACCCTGGAAAACAATAAAATTGAATTAAACGTGACATAGTTTACTAGAATTAAAATATTATTTTTAAAATAAAACTATCCAAGTAATTTAATTATTCAAAACATTTATTTTTAATACCTTTGTGCCTGGAAGTCCAACCGAGCCTCTGTCTCCTCTGGTACCAGTACATTTGCAAGGCACTCCGCAGCATGCTCTCTCCGCAATGTTGTCCTGGATGACAAAAGCAATTAATTGTGTTTTACTATAAAAAATATTATGAATATTTAGACCTCAGTTGTGACTGAAACATACTAGTTCTTCCAGTAGCTCGTAGTCCAAGTCCATGATGTTTACTCGTAAGGGTCTGGTGTATCTGAACCCACGACCATATTCCAAAAGTACAGCTTCCTCAAATTTAGGCACTCGTTCCAGTCCAACCAGAATGAAACTATTTACTCCTTTGAGCAAGTAACACATTTTAAGAGTTACTTATCTTTGCACATTTTTATCAATATGATTTTACCATAAAAATAAATATAATATAAATACATAGTTACCTGACTCCTGAAGCAAATCCACTTGTCTTTTCATTGTGGCATATGGTGCATCAATTCCATCAGTCAGGTGAATGACAACCTTTATAGAAAACAATACCATTCTGAGACAAGATCTTTTGTCAGTCTACGTAAACCAGGCTGACCCAGTCACAGGCAGTGACGTGAGTCTTTCTATGTCTGATAATTTAATTCACATTAAATGTTAATATGTACTATTAAGTGTATGCAAGATTCATAGTATATGAATGTATATGAGAAAATATGTAGAAAACACCCCTTTTTCAAGAAGCATTTATGTACCAACCTTGACAACACTGTCCTGTCTGGTTTTAAACCTGTTCATGTAAGCTGATATCGTCTTCCCATTGAGCACGAAGGGACCACGAGTACGAAGTGCTCTAAAGGCCTCAAAGAGCTCATCAGCATTGTTTGTAAAGTCAAGCTGGACAGGTTCAGAACCAGCATCCACAGCGAGTATGCCCACTTGTACAGAAGGTATTTGCCCAGATGAACAACTAATGGCTCCCATTTTAGTGATTCTCTGAAGAATGCCTCCCATCTTACTCTGAAGATTGGTCTGAGCACTGAAGATGTTCTGTGCAGCAACATCAAAGCCCACCAACACTTCTACATTGCAGGCTACAAAAACAAAACAAATTATTAATATCATTAATAATCATAAGGATAATGATACTTGTGGACATCAGACAATAAGTTTATGAAATACTTTTTTCTTACGTTTGGTATCTTTATGCACATCAACGCAGAGCTTTCCTTTGACTTCATCATCTAGAGTCTCCAGGATTAGCTCATTGAGCTCAGAAAGTCCAAGGAAGGTGGGTGCTCTAGCCACAGTCGTAGGCTCACTAGCAATGTTTACCAACTCATTTTCGACATCACCCACTCCAACGGCAAAGATTCTCACACCCTTTTTCTTCAGACCTAGTGCTGCTGTTTTGCTGTCATCAGCTGAACGCCCTCCAGTGATGAGCATGAGTATCTGCGGAGTGCCCTCATCAATCCTACTGCCCTTTTCTTTGGTGAAGTGAACATCCTGAACATGGCGAATTGCTGCACCAGTGTTGATTTTGTTTCCACCTTTGTACTCTGCTCGTCCAATGGCACTTATAATGTCATCCTTGTTCTTGTACGTGTTGAGGTAGAAGACGTCAGTTACATCGGTAGCATAATGGGCCAACCCAAACTGCAGTTTGTCTCTTTCCGTGAAGAAAAGGTCGATCAGGTTAAGGATAAATGACATCACCTCATTGAAGTTTTTTCTGCCCAAGTTGATCGAGCCGTCCACCAAAAATACAATATCAGCCTTTTTTGAAGGGAGACCTTTTGTCATTTTTTTTTAAAAAAGAAAAGAAACATGTTAAAGTAACTCACTCACAATTGACATTTTTCATATGAAAAACTAATTAAAAACATGTTAATAAGCAGAGGATATGTGAAACATACTTGGATCTGTTTCTGTTGGTGGTTCCTCAGGGATAGTTCCACTCAATCTGGAAAACAATCTTTCCTTAATTGTTGGTAGATTAGGTAAAGAAGAAACCTGGAACCTGAAGGACATCATCTGGGGAGGTGGTAATTTGGGCTAGTTGTCTCGTGTCAACACCAGGACCAGCCCCAACTCCAATGCAGTTTACACGTGAGCCTTTCAGCAGAGGTCCATAGATGGAAACATCCTGGGGTGAACGTCCACCAGTGAGAACCACAAGATGTTGGGAGGCCTCAGCAAAACGAACACCAGCAGAGGGTTTTAACTCATTCTGTATCACATAGTTAATGGCATCAGCCAGGTCCGATGAGCGGCCACCCATTTGACGAAGTCGCTTTATAGCAGAGATAACGGATGGCTTGTTGTTGTGTGAGTTGAGTGAGAATTCTGTTTTAACATTGTCTGCATACTGGACAACAGCCACTCGCACTTGATCAGGTTGCACATCAAGTTGTTGGACAATGTTAAGGATGAAGTCACGGATATGTGCAATGCCGGACACACCTGTGCTGTCTGAGCCATCAATCAGGAAAATTATGTCTTTTCTCCCAAGGTTTAGTGATTCTGCAAAAGACAAAACATCTGTTCAAGGTTCTCAGAAATCCAGGTTTACTTCATACTATGAGGTTTACGAGGAACTGTAATGTAAACTATCAATGTTTCTTACCATCAATAGTGGGAACAGTAACAATGCTGATAATATCAGCAGTGGATATAGTCTTGACAGACTCAATGAGCTTTGACTCCACCCTTGGAAGCTGCTGGAAGGTTTCAACTGTTTGAGCAAGCTCAGGTTTCAGGGAAATTTGTCGCAGTTCATCAATGTCAGCATTTCTTGAACCAATAGCGAGAGGTGCTACTTGGCTTCTCTTCAGCTGGTCAGCTGGACCGTAAACATCATCTGCAGACTTGCCACCAGTAACAAGAATGAGAAATTGAGGAACACCCTCCTCAATTCGGCTTCCTGCAGACCTCTGGAAGATATTCCTTGAGACCCACTCAAGAGCACGACCGGTGTTAAGGCGGTTTCCGCCTTTGTTTCGTAGTCTCGTCACAGCCTGTCTGACTTCATCCTTTGTAGAAAATTCATTAAGAAGAAATTCTAATTTTGGATCATCGCTGTACTGGACCACTGAAACCCGAACACCGTCCATTCCAACGTCGAGCTTCTCCACAACTCTCCTTATCATTTCCCGAATGGCAGGGAATTCACTACGCACTGCTGTTGTGCCATCAATTAAAAAGACAACATCCCTTTTTTCTTGTCCTGAAGGTCTTGGTGTGATAACTGGTCAAAAAAGATGCAAGATATCAATGAACACTAATCTCAAGTTTTCATGACTAATATTTTTTGTAAAATTACCTTCAATGGTTGGAAATATGGGACGCATCGTAGCAATATCCTCGTCTGACAACTCAGTGACTGTGTTGATTATGTTTTCTTGTACTGTATAGAGGCCTGGTATGTCATCTACAGTGAAGGCAAAATTGGGCACATATGACACCACTCGCAGCTCTGAAGGATTAACATCCCTGGTGCCAATGCTGAAAGGAAGAACCCTTGATTGTTTAAGGGTTGATGCTGCTGAGCTAACATCATCTGTAGAAGACCCACTGGAGACAGCAATAACAAACTGTGGTACACCTTCTTGCCTCCTGCTTCCCCGTGCTGCAGTGAGTACATCTCGGTCAACAAACTGCAAGGCCTGCCCCAGGTTACGCTGTCTTCCTCCTCTCTGCCTGATTCCCCTAACAGCATTCATAACCTCATCTTTGGTTCTGTGAGAGTTCAGATACATGTCAGCCTGTGCGTAGTCCCCATACTGGACCACAGCAATTCTAATTTTATCTTCCCCAACATTAAGAATCTCTACAATTCTACGAATAAACTCTTGAATGATGGGAAAATCTCGTCCAACACCATCAGATCCATCAACGAGGAAAACAATATCTCTACGAGGGCTTTGGGCTGAAAGAGAAAAAGAAATTATTTTATTTTCTGTTAACTTTTTGCTTGTTGCAGTTTGAAGAAAATAGTCCATACAATTGACAAGGATATATGTAAAATTGTGTTGTTATATTACATCCTGCATAAAGTTCACAGTATCACACACAGTAACCTACAAAAGCTTAAAGCCGACAACAAAAGAGCTGCACATTTTTTTTAACTTACTTGAAAAATGGTTGGTACACTTAAACATACAGACAGAAAGGAGGAAGGACAGACTGATACTACTAATCCTGAGGGACATTTTGAAAACAAGGTGATTAATTTATTAGTTTATAAACATTTTCGCTTTTTTGGCAAATTCTGTTCTGTTCAACCATTCACACCGATTCATCCTTTTTGAATATTAACAAAGATTATGGTTTTTCTTTTAATAATCTAGATGTACTGATAAGTGGTTGTGCTTGTTAAAGTAGCAAGAATAGCTCCAAACTCTAAAATGTAAACTCTGGATAATACGACAAGCCTTTTGAAACAAAAATGCAAAAATAAGATCATGGGCCCTCATTTGCAGTAGTCCACTATTAGAGTTCCTATTATTACGTGTGTCACCAATTCACTTTCAGCATCAAGTTTAAATGGCAGATAACTGAAACTTTTCTTTCATATTTAATGCACACAGACTTGTAGAACTATAAGAATATTTAACTGCAATCAAACCCCACCAGTTGTAAGAAAAACCTAGCCTTGTAAACGTACCATGCACAGTCGGAGATTCAGGTGTGACTTTAACAACTGCAGTCTTCACAGAGGACTGAAGTTGCTGGTGGATACTGGGAAGGTCATTGAACTCAGACACAGAGAAGGCATAGCTGTAATCATGGGCCATTGTCTGCAGTTCTCCGCTATCTGTGTTCCTGTTTCCAATTGCAAATATCAGGACACCCATCTGTTTGAGAGCAGAGGCTGGCCTATCAATGCTGTCAGAAGATCTTCCACCGCTTAGCACTATTAGCAACTGTGGGACTCC